CATTTGTTTCCATTTTCCAAATATGTGTTTCACAAAATTAATTAGCAATACAACACATGGATACAATACCAACGAAACTGGGCAATTTCAAAGTTGTAAATCAAGCCTTAAGAAAATAAAATGTAAGAGAATTGTCTTAAGTATTCACAAAAATAAGAATAATTTCCAAGTAAAGCTTTGAAGTTGCTTGAATGGAACACTCAAACACCACATTAATGCTGCAACCTTTAACACACTTGAATTTAAGTAAGATCTGAGTGAGCATGCTTAGGTTTTGCAACGTGCTTAATTTGAACTTCATTAGGGAAAGAAGATTCAAAATATTGGGCCATTGGAATAACTTCTGAGATTTCATACAGCATGAAATTCTAACATGGCCATTAAAAAACTAAACTAACAGAAAGTTCAAATAAACATACTAAGTCAGATCCAAATGGCATTGGGGGGTCAGGAATCCATGTAATTTCCTGATTTAATTGTTTCCAGGAGAAAAACTGCAACACAGCCTTTCATATTACACACAATCAGATGCCTGAGGCAGTGCACCTCTGTGTCACATTCAGACCACCTTGTTTACACTTGATGCACAGAACGGGGGCGGGGGGCGGTTTACAACATTTGTTTTCCCCCTTGATGAACATAAGGCCTACCTCTCCCCCCAGGGTCTATGCTTCCCTCTTCCTGGAAGTCCTTGCTAACTCCCTAAGCTATGTCTGCCATTAAAAACACCTGACAGGAACCCCAAATGAGGTTTCTTACGTTTCAGGGCTGGCCCAAGACATTTTGGCACCCTGAGGCAGACCGCAAAATGGCACCCCACTCCTTGACAGGAGAGAAGGGGTGAAGGAAGGAAAAAGAGGGGTGGGAAGAAAGATTGACATCGGGATCTGCGATCCCTGTGGATTCTTCCGCCTGAGGCACGTCGCTTCACCTTGCCACGTGGGTGGGCCGGCCCTGCCTCTGATAAAAACATGGGACTAGCAAAAATGTATTAAGTCAGTAATAAATGTTGGAAATGTAAAGAAAAAGAGGGAACATTTTATCACATGTGGTGGGAATGTAAAAAGGTGAAATGCCTTCTGGGAGATGATATATAATGAGATGAAAAAATGTTGAAATATACATTTATAAAGAAACCAGAAGCATTTTTACTGGGCATTGTTGGGAGTGATATAAATAGAAAGGAATATAAGCTCTTTTTATATGCAATAACAGCAGCAAGAATATTAGTGGCCCAAAAATGGAACAAGAAGAATTACCAACGATTGAAGAATGGAGGATGAAGTTAATGGACTATGCAGAACTAGATAAACTAACAGGAAGGATTCGAAACCGGCGGGACCAGAAATTCACGAAGACTGGAGTAAATTTACGGACTATTTGAAAAAGTATTTGTGAAGATCGTTTGTAGGTTGCAAGAAGTTTTGTGAGGAGTATTATTGGAAGTATTGCAAAAATGGAGAAGGGGAAGGATGATTTCTTAAGAGATGTAAGGCATATAAAGTTAAGAAAATGCATAAGAAGTGGTTTAAAACGGTGGGTCATCAGAGGTGCTGATGGAAGTCTAAAGATTGTATGTATTAATTTTTTGTGGTTACTTTTTATAATTTATATGTTAAATCAATAAAATTATATATATAAAAACATGGGACAAGCCCCACTCTCAACCAGTTTACTGATGCTGTCAGCAATTGCCTTCTGCCAGGTGCTGATGATGCACTCTGAATCATGCCGGATCAGGTACTCGGATCCTTCCCGTGTCTTCAGCTGGAACAGAGGAACCATCCGATTGTGACATCCAGGCAGAAGATGCTCACCACAACCCCAAGAACTCAGCAAAATGCCCCCCAGATTCAGTGCAATTCTCACGGTTTCTCATTGAGGGCATTCCTGTACAGTACTTCAAAATTTCTAAAAAGGTAAACGGTGCCAGACCTCAGAGCGAAACCACAATGCTTGATCTCTAGCCCAGCAACTCTGCCATATAATGCATAATTGGAGAAAGGTGGGGTTAAGGGACTACTAAAACCCTTTTGACATCGCAGGGGGAGACATAACATATTTTATGTAAAATATGTTAAAAAATAAATGGGCAAACTTGAGGGGTCTGTGGGGCATTAACTTTTTATTTTTTTTAAATTGTTTTAAATAACAAAGGGGAATCTTAGGGGCCATAAAACAAGATTAGGGGGTGCTGGATATGGGCCATGGGCTATTGGCGTTAACGACCCCTTCTGTAGAAGATACTAGCTGTGGGAATAAGACAGTTGCTGGACAGCACTGTGCTCATACAGAACCTCTTCCAGCTAATCACAGAAAGGTAAAGGGGACCCCTGACCATTAGGTCCAGTCGTGGCCGGAACTCTGGGGTTGCGGCGCTCATCTCGGCTTCATTGCCAAGGGAGCCAGCATACAGCTTCCGGGTCATGTGGCCAGCATGACTAAGCCGCTTCTGGCGAACCAGAGCAGCACACGGAAATGCCGTTTTACCTTCCCACTACAGCGGTACCCAGTGGCGTAGCGTGGGGGGTGCAGGGGGGGCCGGCCGCACCGGGCGCAACATCTGGGGTTAGGGCAAATCCACAGGTTTAGGGGCGCAAATCCACAGGTTAGGGGGCGCAAATCCACGGGTTAGGGGGCGCAAATTACTTGCCTTGCCCCGGGTGCTGACAACCCACGCTACGCCACTGGCGGTACCTAATTTATCTACTTGCACTTTGTGCTTTCGAACTGCTAGATTGGCTGGAGCAGGGGACTGAGCAACGGTAAGTCCACCCCGTCGCGGGGATTCAAACCGCCAAACCTTCTGATCGGCAAGTCTAGGCTCTGTGGTTTAACCCACAGCGCCACCATCAAACGTGGAAATGAAGTTACCGAAGCTTTATATAGTGTGAGATTTACTTCCTGCACCTAGGATTTGTTGCTAGTTTTCCTTCATGTTCCAACAGGGTCACTGGAAACGCACGGGACACATCTTACAGAGGAAGCAGTGTCAGGCTCATCATATGCCTGGAGCTCCCAGAGCAGGCTTTCACAGGGAAAAGGGACTCGGCTAGGTTTCCCCACCACTTGAACCAGGTTGCCATGTACAAATATGGACTCCTGATACTAATCTTTTGTAACCGATGCAGCGCAAGACACATTGCACGGCAACCATAACTTTCATTTTAAAAGAAGTGGCCCGTATTAGGAAATGGACAAGATTTCACTTTTAATAAGTCTAGTCTTCATAGAGGAAGATGCTTGGAAGATGGAGTGTTGTGGTTTTGTGGCCAAAACTCATTTGTACCATCAGAATTAAGACTGCCTTAAAAGTCTGTCTGTTTTTAAAAATGTGTGTTCCCTTTTTTCCAGTGAAGATAAGTTAGTTGAATTGATATTTGCAGGAATAGCCACATTTAGGCATGTGTAACAGACAGATTGCCTGGTGAGGAGCAGCACAGGCCTGTGTTGCTTCCTCCTCCATGCGTTTTGCCATCATCTGTTGCTACGGAAACAGAAGCAGAGATGGGGACCACCATCCTTTACCTCCAAGACATTCTTTTTGCTCGACTTGTCTTTTGCAGCCCAAGAAAGTGTTGCTCCACTAAGATCCACAGTGTGCTCAGGGCTACTCAACACGGAGGGATGTTTCTGAGGGTGAAGGTAGGAAACAGAAGCAGCATGGAAGTCCACATTTTATGACTGCTCGCAACTACAGAGAAAACAAAAAATCCCACCCACTTACCCATCAAATTATACCCTGCAGAGAAATTATGGGGTTTTCCAGACACCCTTTTTATTGTGCATTTACGATGGTTTGTGCTCATGATGCTATTGGGGCAGTCACACAGCTGAATTTTCCAACCAGTGCATATTGTGTAACTTCCTTCTGAAATCCTGCAACTTTTTATATACCACAAAGATTCGGCAGGAGGAGATGCCCTGCTTTTGTTGTGCTATAGTCCCTCTGGACAACAATAACATGCAAGCATTGGCTTGGATAAGTACCACAGAACAAACTAGAGCAGCCTGGAGGGGTTCCAAAAGATCACTGGCTCTCAGTACGTTTCCAAGCACAATGCAAAGTGTTTGTGTTGACCTTTAAAACTCTAAACGTCTTCGGCCCTGTATATCTGAAGGAGTGTCTCCACCCCCATTGTTAAGCTGGACTCTGGGCTCCAGCTCCAAGAACCTTCTGGCGGTTCCTTCATTGCGAGATGTGAAGCTACAGAGAACCAGGCAGAGGGCCTTCTCGGTAGTGGCACCCACACCCACGCTAGGCGTTCACACTGGGTCACAGATCAACGGCAGAGGACCTGCTTTTGTCTTGTGTGTCGTTATCTAAAATCTTTTCATGTTGTAAGTTGCCTTTATTATTATTTTAATGTATTTTATCTATGATTTTCAATTTTATACATTTCAATAATTTTATATTCATTTTAACATATCATAACTTGACTTGATGCCAGAGTGGTGCATGCTCTGGTTATCTCCCACTTGGGTCTACTGCAATGCGCTCTACGTGGGGCTACCTTTGAAGGTGACCCGGAAACTGCAACTAATCCCAAATGCAGCAGCTAGACTGGTGACTAGGAGTGGCCGCCGAGACCACATAACACCAGTCCTGAAAGACCGACATTGGCTCCCAGTACGTTTCCAAGCACAATTCAAACTGTTGGTGCTGACCTTTAAAGCCCTAAACGGCCTCAACCCACTAGACCTGAAGGAGCGTCTCCATCCTCATCGTTCAGCCCGGACACTGAGGTCCAGCTCTGAGGGCCTTCTGGCAGTTCCCTCCCTGCGAGAAGTGAGGTTGCAGGGAACCAGGCAAAGGGCCTTCTCGGTAGTGGCACCCACACCCTGTGGAACGCCCTCCCATCAGATGTCAGGGAAATAAACAAATACTGTATTTTTTGCTCTATAAGACTCACTTTTTCCCTCCTAAAAAGTAAGGGGAAATGTGTGTGCGTCTTATGGAGCGAATGCAGGCTGCGCAGCTATCCCAGAAGCCAGAACAGCAAGAGGGATTGCTGCTTTCACTGCGCAGCGATCCCTCTTGCTGTTCTGGCTTCAGAATATTTTTTTTTCTTGTTCTCCTCCTCCAAAAACTAGGTGTGTCTTGTGGTCTGGTGCGTCTTATAGAGCGAAAAAATACGGTATCTAACTTTTAGAAGACATCAGAAGATAGTCCTGTATAGGGGAGTTTGTAATTCTGGATGTTTTATTATGGTTTGGTATAAGCTGAAAGCTGCCCAGAGTGGCTTGGGCAACCCAGTCAGATGGGAGGGGTACAAATAATAAGACAGCAGGTAGCTGAGCGAAGGCTGAGGTTTGGTGGAGCAGCCTCCACTGTCTACCTTTCAACTGGGGTAGCAAGCCATGGCTGAGGACTCACCACACTGCTAGACGTGGAGTGTTTTGAGTCCTTGAAAAAAGTCAAGACACCACCTTCCAGGACTGTCCATGAAGAACTCCAATTCTTCCTAAGAGGGGAGAAAGGGAAGGAAGAAAAGGAAACCTCATTCACAGAGCAGTGCTAACTGAGCAGCGTGAAACGGGGGAGAGGAACTCTGCCTGCCTCAAGGGAAAAGGTTCTCCTACCCTCAGTTATCCTGATTCCCTTCCACCCGCCCCTTGCTCCGCATTTCTATCGCCAACTTTGGCGTTAGGGAGAGTTCACACATGCAATTATTACAGCATCCAGGTCTCATGCCATGCACCTCTCTGCAAGTTCAGGGCCTCTGATGAAGAGTCAGCAAGGCAGAAGGTGGGACTTCTCAACTGAGGGAACCAGGCCATGGTATTTGGTCGAAGGAAGAGATGGAGACAGAACCAGGAAGCCAAGCTGAGGTCAGATCCAAGGAAGCAGTCCAAGCAGGGCAGAAAGGAGGAGACAGAAGGGCTGGGGAGGAGGAAGAGACAGAGGACCAGCAAAGTCCAAGGAGAGATGTGGGAAGAAGACAACATGGTGAGCCTGAGCTGCTGAACACACAGGAAATGCTTTGCTGCACGGACAGAAGTCCTTTCCACCCTAGGGCCTTTTGGAACTGCCCTTCTGCAATCAGCTGGAAACGGAATTAAAGCACTGCTGTTTTGTGCAGCGCTGTTTATCCCACAACAATCCTGCAATGAAATCCCAGCTCTGTTTACACAAAAGAAGCCACTCCCTGGCGTGAAAGAAACTAGGCTGCCTCTGATTCAAGATGGGGCCTACAAGCTTCCATTGTTTTTAAAAAAATTGCATTAAAACCTTTTTTTCAAAACCAAACACACCTTCTCAATTAAGGAAAGACACATCTTTAACACCCGCTTTAAAAGAGGTTTTCAAACGGCTTGGATCCAGGATACCTGGGGGTTTGATTGACCCCATACCAACCTGCCCCAAACCCCAAGATCAGATGCACAGAAACAAATCATTCTTACCTCTGGCGTTTCCCTTTATCAGCAGTCTTTGTCCGAAAGAGCATCCCAGCCTTTTCAAGCGTTTTTAACTGAGTGGAGGGGAGGAAAAGGCTGTAGTTTAAATCTGTCCTGGCTGCTGAGGTGATCCCGTAACATTATTCACCCCCTTTCCCATTCCTAATACAAGCCTCTTGCTGAGGAAAATCTGTGTACACACCATACATTTGAAACACGCCCCGCAAGAATCCTGGGACCTATAGGTAAAGGTAAGGTAAAGGACCCCTGGACGGTTAAGTCCAGTCAAAGGCGACTATGGGGTATAGCGCTCATCTCGCTTTTTAGGCCGAGGGAGCTGGCATTTGTCCATAGACAGCTTTCTGGTTATGTGGCCAGCATGACTAAACCACTTCTGGCACAATGGGACACTGTGACAGAAAGCAGAGCGCACGAAAGCACCGTTTACCTTCCTGCCACAACAGTGCCTATTTATCTACTTGCACTGGTGTGCTTTCAAACTGCTAGGTTGGCAGGAGCTGGGACAGAGCGACGGGAGCTCACTCCGTTGCGGGGATTCAAACCGCTGACCTTCCGATCGGCAAGCCCAAGAGGCTCAGTGGTTTAGACCACGCCACCCGCGTCCCTATCACAGATCTACAATTCCCAGCACCTTTTAGAAACTACAGTTTCCAGGATTTTTTTGAGGGATGTCATGTGCTTTCAACAGCCTCTAATGGGCATCTCTTGTTACTTATGTGAATGACTGACACCAATCAGTGCATATCCTATCACTTCCTGCTAAAATCTTGATACCACAAATACTTTGTCCCCAAAGTTCTGTTTTCACCTCTGTCCCACTTCTGCTGCACTACCAACAAAAATATTAGGGCAGCCCTGGGGAAGCATTGGAAAAACAACTTATTGAATAGAATAAATCCACCAGTGACACACTACTGGACCGCCTCTCCCGGTATGCCCCACAGAGAGCCTCAAGGTCCATAAATAGCAACACCCTAGTGGTCCCAGGCCCTAAGGAAGTTAGATTGGCTTCAACCAGAGCCAGGGCCTTTTCAACACTGGCTCCAGCCTGGTGCAACGCTCTGCCTCATGAGACCAGGGCCCTGCAGGATCTGATTTCTTTCCACAGGGCCTGTAAGACAGAGTTGTTCCGCCTGGCCTTTGGCTTGGAACCAATTTGATTCCCTCCCCCTCTTTCTTTTTCCTTTTTCCTTTCTCCTCCTGTGATGAGGCCTGCATTTTAATATTTTAATGAATCAATATTTTAATTGTTGTATTTTAATCTTGTTTTTAAGTTGTATTCATTCAACTTGTTTTTATTATTGCTTGTTAGCCGCCCTGAGCCCGGCCTTGGCTGGGAAGGGCGGGGTATAAATAAAAATTATTATTATTATTATTACTACTGTGCTATTGTGGCAAGAACATACTGCAGAATATACAGAATTTAAAACAGCAGCCTGGGGGATGCCCTTAGTCCACATCCGATATTTAAAGGACTATATATTAAATTTCGGACGCGGGTCGGACGCGGGTGGCGCTGTGGGTAAAAGCCTCAGCGCCTAGGGCTTGCCGATCGAAAGGTCGGAGGTTCGAATCCCCGTGGCAGGGTGCGCTCCCGTTGCTCGGTCCCAGCGCCTGCCAACCTAGCAGTTCGAAAGCACCCCCGGGTGCAAGTAGATAAATAGGGACCGCTTACTGGTGGGAAGGTAAATGGCATTTCCATGTGCTGCGCTGGCTCTCCAGAGCAGCTTCGTCACGCTGGCCACGTGACCCGGAAGTGTCTCCGAGTGAGTGAGATGGGCGCACAACCCTAGAGTCTGGCAAGACTGGCCCGTACGGGCAGGGGTACCTTTACCTTTACCTTTTATATTAAATTTAAATGTACGTTTGCAGATGTGGCCTTAGATGCGATGCCCAGTCTCCCAGTTACCAATCAAGAGAAAACAGAAGAGAAATGGCAGAAGTGGGAATTGTGGTCACAAGAGTTATCAGCTGACTCTTTATGGAGCGGAAGGAAATTGGGTCCTCAGCTCACCACCCTATATCATCTTCTTCATTTCTCTCCCCCACCCTAATTTTTCCACAGATGAACCTTTTAGCTCAAAATGCAGGACGGATCAGGAAACCCGCATATATCCCTTCCTCAATGGGATATGAATTCCCACTTCAGTCTTTCCTCCACAGGTCCAAGACAATTCAGGGTTTTCCTTACCTGTCCCTCCTTTGGCCCAGAGAAGGGTACCCAGTTTCCAAAAGGGCTGCTGTCTAGGCTGGACCCACTGCTGGTACTGTGGTGATGGTGGCCGGATGCAGTGACCTGGAAGATATCCTTTTATTAGCAGGAGCAACACAGAACAGGGGTATGTCGCAAGCTGCTGATCAGCCCACAGCGCCCTTGAAGCCCTGCCCAAATAGTCCTGTGTTTGTGTTGATATTACCACAGAAGAAAAGCCTTGCCATCAGCTAGTCCCATACCATTTAATAAGGGCTACCAGACACAGAAAACAGAGGAAAAAACTGAATTTTGACTTGTGTTGTTTTTTTAAAAAAAAAACTTTCCTCAAAGCTTAATCCCCAAATCGGAAGAAGAATCTTCATCTTGAATTTCTGCCCCCAAAGCAGCTTTTAAAACAGGCGCAGGATCTTGCCAGCTTTAAAAAAGGCGGCATTTGTTATTTTCACAGGGTTGCTGGTTTCATTGACCAATTACGATAATGTTTTGTATAACATAGGGATGCGGGTGGCGCTGTGGGTTAAACCACAGAGCCTAGGACTTGCCGATCAGAAGGTCAGCGGTTCGAATCCCCGCAACGGGGTGAGCTCCCGTTGCTTGGTCCCTGTTCCTGCCAACCTAGCAGTTCAAAAGCACATCAAAGTGCAAGTAGATAAATAGGTACCGCTCTGGCGGGAAGGTAAACGGCGTTTCCATGGGCTGCTCTGGTTCCACAGAAGCGGCTTAGTCATGCTGGCCACATGACCCGGAAGCTGTGCGCCGGCTCCCTTGGCCAATAAAGCGAGATGAGCGCCGCAACCCCAGAGTCGGTCACGACTGGACCTAATGGTCAGGGGTCCCTTTACCTTTTGTATAACATTATCACTTGCTATAATATTCAGTGATGATCATCTGACGTTTCCTTAATGGGCATCAAAGGCCTCAAGCGGTTTTTTTCAATGACCCATGACAACTAGTGGCTATAACAACAGACCAGCCAAGAGGACACACTTTCTAGTTAAAATGGGGAACAAACTCCAGCCTTCTTCAGTTTGTAGCAGAGGGGGCAGGAGCGCAGAAGATTTTGGGGTGTTACAAGGCAGCTGGCAAACAGGTCTGAGTTTTTACAGCTGGGTGGCCAAAGTAGCCTATGGGGGAATAAGATTACGCTTATTTCCATTTGGGAATGCCTGTCTCCTCCTCTGTGCTTAGTGACTCTGCACACATTCTTTCCCCTCAAAGAATTCTGGGTACTGTAGTTCCCCCTCCTGGAGTGACAACTCCCAGCAACCCTGAACGAACGACAGCATGGGAAACCGTAGCAAATGTAGCATGGTTACCCCAGTGCACAGACCCACAGGCTTTCTGAGCCCTCCTTACCGGGTTGGAGGCATACTGGTCACCATCAAACACCAGTCCTTCCTGGTTGCCATAGGACGGCCAGCCTTGGTATGCAGAGGGAACGCAGAGTCCGTCCAGCGGCTGGTAGGAGCCAACCGGAGAATAATCTTCTTCAGGATAGGGCTCAAGTTCATCAGGAGAAAGGTTGGGGTAGTCAGTTTCTGGAGTTGGCGGCTGAAGGAGGTTTCAGACAAGAGGTCACCACACAGAAAATTGTCGAACAATAATTCAGGGGTTCTTAAATCTCCTTAGAGAATCTTCCCCCAGAAGATAAAGGTAAAGGGACTCCTGACCATTAGATCCAGTCGTGGCCGACCACAGAGCCTAGGACTTGCCGATCAGAAAGTCAGCGGTTCGACTCCCTGCGATGGGGTGAGCTCCCGTTGCTCGGTCCCTGCTCCTGCCCACCTAGCAGTTCAAAAGCACGTCAAAGTGCAAGTAGATAAATAGGTACCGCTCTGGCGGGAAGGTAAATGGCGTTTCCGTGCGCTGCTCTGGTTCGCCAGAAGCGGCTTAGTCATGCTGGCCACATGACCCGGAAGCTGTACGCCAGCTCCCTTGGCCAGTAAAGCGAGATGAGTGCCGCAACCCCAGTCGGCCACGACTGGACCTTATGGTCAGGGGTCCCTTTACCTTTAGATAGAGGAATGGGCTGACTTTTCCCACATTGTGATTTTTGCCGGCGCCTGCTCTTGTGAATTGCTGCCCCCTGCATGAGGCAGGGGAGAGATTAACTGGCTGGGTTAACAGGGGATGCAGGAATCAACCCCACATTGCGATTTTCGCATAACACACAACACACGATTAGCAATATGCTGCCAGCTCAAAAAATATGAAACCAGTATTGTGATGTGGACTTGAAACTGGTTTTAGATGAGATGTCAAAGCAATAAACAACTACCTGACATTCAGAAGACATCTTAAGGCAGCCCTGTTCAGGGAAGTTTTTAACGTGTGATATTTTAGTGTATTTTTGGTTAATATGGAAGCCGCCCAGAGTGGCTGGGGAGGTCCAGCCAGATGGGCGGGGTATAAATAATTTTTTATTATTATTATTATTATTATTATTATTATTATTATTATTATTATTATTATTATATTGAAATATCGCCCAGCCTTGCCACCACCTGCACTATACAAAGCAGATCCTATGTACTCACAGATCAAAGTACACGATCTGGACCAAAATACAAGACAAACCAGGAACCTACTTCCTAAATAGGAAGGACCCAACTGGCAGCTTAAAGGCAAGGTGGATAAAAATCAATGATTTTTAAAAAATAAATTTAAAATAACAGATTTTTAAATTTAAATCAGATTTTTTTTATTTAAATTGGATTTTTAAAATAAAATGCCTTTGAAGGAAAAATCTTTCTAAAGATAGTTTTCTATTTAAGTTACACTATAGTCCAAAGGCTATTCATCAGGAAATAAAGATTTGTTTTAAGTTTTTCATGTGTGCTAAAACTCAGTCTAAGTTTTTTTTTAATTGTTTAACCACATCAGTTAACAAACATGGATACATCTGCTGTAATGTTGTTTTAATTCAATAAATTGTTTAAATTGTTATTAAGGAAATGATTATTTTTCTCCTTCCAATAAAGTATAGTAAAAAAGTTGTCCAAATATAAACAGTTAACTTATTAAACCTCACAATAATTTCATAATTATCTATGCATTTCTAATAGTATAACCAAATGAGTAATTTTTGATATAACTGTAAAAACTACTCAGAAATTTTACTATTCCAAAAATGAAACCTTCATCTGGTTGTAAATATTAAGATTATACCAGCAAGAATGAGTCTTTCTGTAGAAAAAATGATTTAAATCAAGTCTTACTGACTAGTGATTTAAATTGTGATTTGAATCAAATCAAATCCACCCTGCTTACAGCCTCAATCCACACACAGCCTCAACATCAAGGATAAATTATTCGGACCCTGGTGACCCTCTTCACCACATGGCCCTGGAGGAAAAATTCTTACTTACTCCTAACATGGAAAATCAGGCCATATGTGTTCAACACTCATCAACCAGTCTTTCGGGAAGCTTTTAATGTTTGATGTATTATAGTATTTTAATATTCTTTTGGAAGCCGCCCAGAGTGGCTGGGGAAGCCCAGCCAGATGGGCGGGGTATAAATAATAAATTATTATTATTATTATTATTATTATTATTATTATTATTATTAATTTCCACAGGCAGTTTCTATCCACCAACGTCTCATCCAGGGCCAGATTTAGGTTTGATGAGGCCCTAAGCTACTGAAGGCAATGGGGCCCTTTATATGTCCAGCTGTCCTTTGTCAACAACAGACTGTTGCCGTTTTTTGTGTTGAATTTAAGCTATAGGGTAATTTATGGACCTAATAGGTATCTATAGCCATTTGTACATAACAAAATATGTATTTTATCAGAGTAATTATTGAACTGAAATACACTTAAGTAGTAGTATATTTGGGGGGGGGGGGCTCCAAGAGAGTGGGGCCCTAAGATATAGCTTCTTCAGCTTATACCAGGGGTCAGCAAACTTTTTCAGCAGGGGGCCAGTCCACTGTCCCTCAGACCTAGTGGGGGGCCGGACTGTATTTTGGAGGGGGGGAAAGAACGAATTCCTATGCCCCACAAATAACCCAGAGATGCATTTTCAATAAAAGGACACATTCTACTCATGTAAAAACACACTGACTCCCAGACCGTCCACGGGCCGGACTGAGAAGGCGATTGGGCCGGATCCGGCCCCCAGGGCTTAGTTTGCCTACCCATGGCTTATACTGTACATAAATCTGGCACTGGTCTCATCCCTGGACGTAGATTATCCTCAGTCCTCACTACATGAACTAGACTTCAGTGGGCTATCTACTGCATCAGAACATAGCTGTCAACTTACAGATTTGAAAATAAGGGATCAGCAGCCAAAATAAGGGATCAACAATTACTTTGATAAAATACATATTTTGTTGCGCGCAAATGGCTTTAGATACCTATTAGGTCCATAAATTACCATATAGCGTATATTCAACACACAAAAAGGCAACAATTTGTTGTTGACAAAGAAGAGCTGGACATAGAAAGGGCCCCATTACATTCAGTAGCTTATTTAAGGGACATCATCAATAAGGGACAGCAGCGGGACATGGCGCTGGGATAAGGGACTGCCCTGCCAAATAAGGGACGCTTGACAGCTATGCATCAGAATTTGTCCCCCACCCCAAGACCCAGTAGACCCCTCCCCGACATTTACCCTCCGATCCACAGGGCTGTAAGGCACAAACGCAGGCTGCATCTCCGGATAATTGAGGGTTTCGTCCATTCGGGGTGCGTCCCACGACGTCTCGCCCGTCGATGTGTTGTAGAAGAACACCTGCCCGCTGGCCTCGTCTACATATTGGTCCCACTCGGCAGGTGTGGCAGGGCTGTGGGCCAGCAAGGGAGAGCAAGAAGGAGGGGGACTCCCGCCGCCGGCAGGACTGTCAAAGGGAGGCTCCCAGGTCGTTTGGCCGGTGGCCGAGTTGTAATAGAACAAGCGGCCACTTTCTGCGTCCGTGTGGGTCTCCCAGCTCGCCGGGGGGCTGCCAAGGTGGGCCTGGGGTATGGATTCAGTTTTGCTCGCAGCGGAGGGACTCCGTTCCAACCGGAGCTCCTGGAGATTCACATACACAGGATCTTCAGCCACCTCCTTGCTTGGCTGAGGCTGAAAAGAAGAAATAAAAGAAGTCGTCAGCCAACTGCATCATCACACAATTACGTGACACACAGAGGCAGGACTCTCAAAGCCTCCAATCCACAGAAACATGCTGGATTTCTAACGTTTGGTCAGCTGGATGTGACTATCTTCATCTTTTGTAACGCCCAAACTTCCCTTGTCATCTAGCTCCTATACGTTGTACCGTATTTTTCGCTCTATAAGATGCACCAGACCACAAGATGCACCTAGTTTTTGGAGGAGGAAAACAGGGGGAAAAATATTCTGAATCCCAGAAGCCATAACAGCAAGAGGGAACGCTGTGGAGCGAAGGCAGCGATCCCTCTTGCTGTTCTGGCTTCTAGGATAGCTGCGCAGCCTGCATTCACTCCATAAGACACGCGCACACACGCACACACACACACACACACACACCTTACTTTTTAGGAGGGAAAAAGTGAGTCTTATAGAGCAAAAATTATGGTATTTCCTATATTCTTCTATTACCCTTGCTGTTACCTTTCCCGGGAAAATCAGAGGCTCACTATGTCAGGTTCCTATTGGAAGACCGGACAAACGCTAGAACATTAGCAGCAGTGAAGTTTTTATCGGTGGTTGCAAGAACCAATGATCCCTATCTTTAAGTCTGAACAAAATGTTTGTTTAACCTGGAGGTAGGCTGTCTGAATTGTGCATTGCTTTGTAACGATTTGTTGGGTCTCTGGACCGTAATAAAGATTGATTGATTGATTGATTGATTTTCCTCGCATTTTCTCCTATTAGGTAATGTTAACTCAGAGTGCTTCCAGATGACCTGAGCATTCACTCAGATCTGCTTGCAGTCTGGCCAGACAACGTTCCACCCCACATTTTCTGGAGCTTTCCCCCATCACTTTCCTTACAGCAAAAGGCTTGACCTTTTGGGAAAGCGACCTCCTAATCAAATGCACAACCTGAATTTGCCAGGATGTGACTGAATCCCACCCCAGTACAATGACGGTCTGACAGAAGTGCCCTCAATGTCCCGAGAGCGATTCACAATGAGGTTTGGTTTCCTTTGGTTCTCCAGCTGGTCTGCTTGGCTGCTACAAGCCTGGCCCTTGGCAGTTGTGTCCAGCAATGATTGGCCCAGTTCCGAAAGTGGGTTTGGTAGTCCTTTCTCCCTATCAAACCCGCTTCTGTCTATTAGAGGATGTACCTGAGAAATCCAAAGGGTGTTCACGGGGAGGGCAGCCCCTTCGTTTCCTGAAACTTACCTGAATGCAGCACCTAGAAGAAAATCAAGCAACACAGGCCGACTATTTTGAAATGGAGCAAGAGACTTCTGAAACAAAGGACTCTTGGAAACGGTACATGTACCAAAAAAAACAACCCCTGTGCAAGCATATAACTGTATGCCAGACAGTACACTATTACACCGAGAAAATTTCTTTACAAGTTGAAAGGAAGGATCCATTAAAAAGAAAGAAAGATAAATATAGATCTAGGCAATGCAGCATAAAAAAAGGCTTTTGCCCAGGGAATTTGCTTTTTTTGTGCCAGTTCTGAAGTATTTCCTCTTCTTTAAAGTAAAGGTAAAGGTACCCCTGCCCGTACGGGCCAGTCTTGACAGACTCTGGGGTTGTGCGCCCATCTCACTCAAGAGGCCGGGGGCCAGCGCTGTCCGGAGACACTTCCGGGCCACGTGGCCAGCATGACGAAGCTGCTCTGGCGAGCCAGCACCAGCGCAGCACACGGAAACGCCGTTTACCTTCCCGCTAGAAAGCGGTGCCTATTTATCTACTTGCACCCAGGGGTGCTTTCGAACTGCTAGGTTGGCAGGCGCTGGGACCGAGCAACGGGAGCGCACCCCTGCCGCGGGGATTCGAACCGCCGACCTTTCGATCGGCAAGCCCTAGGCGCTGAGGCTTTTACCCACAGCGCCACCCGCGTCCCCTTCCTCTTCTTTAGGCTGCCTCAATTCTGATTTCCTTTAAAATAGGTTTAGTTTTATTTTTAATTTGTGGTTTTCTCAGTGCTTACTCTGCATCTTGGTTACATTCCATTCTTTACACTTCATGGTTTAAACCTTTTATTTGTGAACTACACAGAGAAAGCTTTTATTAATGGCAACATTATGTTGTAAATAAATATATTGTTTCGTGTTTCCTGGTAGACAGGAGTTGCCAGGATCAGTTTGCTCTGTAGTGAGACAGCAAAGGAAGTTTGCAGAATTTTCTATAGTACTCCAAGCAAGCAGACCTACATCCCAAGTAACAAACAGTTATCCTGTGCCCCTGAAATATCAAGGTGGTTTCCCCCCTTTCCATTCAGCTCCCAAAACAGCTCCTTTTATCTTTGTCGAGTTCAGTACTTTTCCCTGCTTTCCACATCTCTCGGCTCATAGCTAGAGTTACTACCTTTCTTGCACTGGCCTCAGCCTGAAAATAAGTGATACTCTTGGCATAATCTTAGCTCCATGTCAGGAGAGCTTCATTTGCTAAATTTCTCTCTATCTAAGAGAGGGGAGATGATAGGTTAAGCATTGTGGGCAGGGCTGGCTCCAGGTTTGCTGGGTTTGTATACCCCACTTCATCAGAAAATCGCAGGGCAGTTCACAACATAAAAGTACAAAACAAAAATGTAAAATACACAATAAAACAAAAGCAAAACAACCCAATAACCCACAGACACATTTAAAAGGCCACAAAATGTTTATCAGCCAAACAGAGGGTTGAAATGTTTTTGCCTGGGGCCTAAATATATGCAATGAAGGCAAGCCTCCCTGGGGAGAGCATTCCACAAACAGGGAGCCACTGCAGAAAAGGCCCCGTTCTCAGGTTGCCAGACTGCTCGTAGGGGGAGGCACACAAAGGAGAGGCTTAGATGATGATCACAGGGTTGTGATGGCAGCTTTCTAATCAACCCTGGGTAGCTGGGCTTAGCCATCATTTGCATTTTCCCTTAATGCCCCAGAGCAACACTGAGACAGGGGTAACGAGGGAGATTAAAAGGGTGCCTAGATCCAGCCAGGAAAGGATAAAGGAATTGGAACGCAGGCCCAGGGCAGATGTCATTGCAGGGGGTTGATGACCCCCAGAGTTCCTTCCCAGTCTACAATTCTATGATTCATCAGTGATGAGCTGCCCAAGGGCTGTACCAGGGCACCTCTGACTCGGGAGTCCCATTTGACTGAAGGCCTCACCCCAGAGTCTGTTCGCTGGTGTCAAGCCCAAGTCCCTGAACATGTGCAACAGGGGCAAAGAGTGCCTCTGAGCAAGTGCTGAGTGCACTAAGTGAATCAGAGCCTAGCTGTGGGACCGGCTTTTCTGTGCCAGGACTCAGCCTTGATCATTATACGAGATGCATTGCCGAGTTTCGATCAGTCATCACTGCAAAACTATACAGCCAGCTGCTTCTCAGCTGAGAGAAAGTTGTTTGTCGGCATGATCAAGCAGTGACACCTCCTCCCTGCCCGCTCTGAATAGTGAGTTCATTCTGCAGCTTCCTATTGGCACCTCTGCTCACGCATCCTCACTCAGCTTCCTCTGTGCACGAGTTGCTACTAGACCTCGGTTAAAGGTAAAGGTAAAGGGACCCCTGACCATTAGGTTCAGTCGCAGACGACTCTAGGGTTGCATGCTCATCTTGCTCTATAGGCCGAGGGAGCAGGTGTTTGTCCACAGACAGCTTCCGGGTCATGTGACCAGCATGACTAAGCCGCTTCTGGCGAAACCAGAGCAGCGCACAGAAACGCCGTTTTACCTTCCCGCCAGAGTGGTACCTATTTATCTACTTGCACTTTTGGGCGTGCTTTCGAACTGCTAGGTTGGCAGGAGCAGGGACCAAACAACGGGAGCTCACCCTGTTGCGGGGATTCGAACCACTGACCTTCTGATTGGCACTCCTGTGCAAATAGGGAGTGCTGATCCGCACACTCACAGGTGGAAGCAGTCGACCCAAGCTCTTTAGGAACTGCACACCGACATCCACAGAATCGTGGAATTAGAAGGGACACCACAGTGCCCTGCAATGCAGGAATCTTTCGCTTGAACCCACGACTCTGAGATTTAAGAGTCTCACACTCTACCGACTGAGCTACCCAGGCAGAAACAGACCATTCCCTCTCAACAGGATGGCTTCCCAAATGAGCAGCTTGCCTTCAAGTTCGGGCAGAGAAACTTGACATCTTCTGAATTTAAAGAGTGCGTCTGGCTGTTAACCAGAAGGTTGGTGGTTCGAACCCACTCGGACGTGGCTACGCACAGGATTCCTGCACTTCACGGGGTTGGACTAAATGATCCCCTCATGCTCTACAATTCTATGATCCTAGGAAGAAAAGCTAGGAATTTAGCCAGAATTAACTCATTTACACCTTTGTTGGCTGCCTGTGACAGTCACAGCCGCTGTTGGGAATCAGACATAGAATAAAGACCTGCATTACTGAGGCACACCTGCATTTATGATACTGCCCTAATCTATTTGTGAATCTATTTTTTCTCGTTCATAGGAAAAGCTGTGGTGTTTCCCTTGGAGCTTCTCGCCACTCAGAAGTGGGAAACACTTGACAGGAAATGTGTAGGGTTGTTTTTGCTATCCAGGCCTGTAGTTAGCAACTGGGGAATACAGTGGCTGTGTACACATTATTGCTCACTCCAGTTCTGGTATTTGAAGCCAAGTGTGGGTTAAACCACAGAGCCTAGGACTTGCCGATCAGAAGGTTGGTGGTTTGAATCCCCGCGACGGGGTGAGTTCCTGTTGCTCGGTCCCTGCTCCTGCCAACCTAGCAGTTCGAAAGCATGTCAAAGTGCAAGTAGATAAATAGGTACCGCTCCAGTGGGAAGGTAAACGGCGTTTCCGTGCGCTGCTCTGGTTCGCCAGAAGCGGCTTAGTCATGCTGGCCACATGACCCGGAAGCTGTATGCCGGCTCCCTGAACTACAGTAAGATGCCACCACCAAGCGAGGATGCCCAGATGAGATACATCTTTAGCTGCAGCATCTCAGTGTCTCTCTTCCCCTTTCACGAAAT